CACGGGCCGCCGTCTCTATGGTTTCCCTACCCGCTTCCCCGCGATTTGGTCGGGTCTGACAAGAGACGGGAGCGGGGTCGCAAAGCGGGCGCGACGAAGGGCCGCGACCGTCCCCTGCGGTGTGGGGTGGAACTGCACGCGGGCCTCAGACCGCGAGCCTGAGGGGACGTGAGCGCACGGTGGGTGCCGAAGCAGCCAGGACGCACTTCAGTCTTTACTACGAGTAGTTATAAGCCCATGTGCTAATTGTTAATTCTCTGAGTTATTTTCAGAGAGATGAAAATAAGCTAGTTGGTCTATTTTTTTTCTTATAGCCTGAGGAAAACTCGAGAGACAAATTGAGAAACTTGAGTTTCTGTATATAAGTCATACCGTGGTAAAGTTGTCTCCCACTTTAATGAAGAGGGGTATTTCGGTGGAGCTTTGACCACACAGCAAGAATGAAACGGAGACACTGCACTTCCCAGTTAGCTGCAACGCAGGGAAGAACGGGGACTCTGGGACTGCCGCATAGCACGGCTCTTGGTAAGATTTTAAGCTTACGTTTTACATTATTATAACAATTATTCTGAGGTAAGAGGGGAGAAGGACACTCTCCCTGGAATGCGTCTCAAAATACACTGAAGACCAGTGACAATGTAAACGTGTTTCAAGCAACCTGACAGGAGCACAGCGGCTCAGGTGCAGAGTGACTAACACACACCTGTGTAGATTGGCAGTCACCGTGCCGCGTACCTTAGTCTTTTTCATGTACTACGTCCTGTTGTCTGCGCTATGTTGTGAGTTCCTGAAGGGCAGGTAGACAACCTCTAAAATGGCTCCCAATAATCCCTGACTCAGTATTCAGTCCCTTGTGTAATCCTCTTCTCTTGTGTGTGGGCAGGATCTAATGACTCACTTCTATCAGCAGAATAGGGCAAAAGTGATGGATGTCACTTTGGAGATTGAGCTCTTAAAGACTGACTTTCATCTTATTGCCCTCCCCCTGGTAGGCACTACTTCTCTTGCCCTCTCACTTGCTCTCTCTGAGGAAGCCGCCTACCATGTGTTGTGAGCTGCTTTATGGAGAAGCACACATGGCATAGAACTCAGGTCACCTCCAGCCAAACAGCCAGCCAGGAGCTGAGGCCCTCAGTGCGACAACCTGCAAGGAACTGAATCCCACTAGTACCGCATGAGGGACTACGGGGCAGATCCTTCCCGGTGTGGGCCTTGAGATGATGGCTCTAACTTCCACCAAGACCTTGATTGCAACCGGGGAGAGACCCTGACACAGAGGACCTAGCTAAGACTCATCCAGATTCCTGTCCTTCAAAAACTGTGAGATAATAAATGTTTTAGTCCCCTAAATTTGGGGTAATTTATTACTCAGCAATAGGTTACTAAGACAGGCTGCCTTCTATTTCTTTTCTGAAAGCATGCCAATGAATAATACTGATGGAACCAGGCATATGCTTTTCTCTTTTTATCCATTTCATCTTCTGCTCCTGAGCTTTATAAAAAGATGAATTTTTACCATGGCAAATTACTTTCAAAAGAGGATAATTATTTGCCCATGTTTGAGAGGTAGAGATCAGCACTGGAAGTTTGAATTTGGGAGTTGTCATGTAAGGATGAGATGAATGAGTGAACTCACAGAGGCATAATGTAGCAAGAACAAGGTTGAGGTCAAATGTCAGCCCATATCTTCATTTAGGGAATGGCAGGAGAAGGAGAGAGAACAGTGGGCGTGAGGGATGTATCACAGGAAGCTAAGGAAGAAATGATATCAGTGAAGGACATGTGGTCAGGGTGTCACAGAGAGAAGGACGATGAAGAAGGCCACGTCTAGGTTTATGGGACTTGAGTTTATACAAATTGGAGAATTGTGTAAGCAGAATACAAAACTGCAGATACAAAATTAGGTACAGGCATCAGAAGGAGCTATGAATTTTTTTTAAATTGAAGTACAGTTGCTTTACAATGTTGTATTAGTTTCAGATGTATAGCATAGTGATTCAGCTATACATATATATATATATGTATATTCATTTTCATATTCTTTCCATTATATGTTACAAGATACTCAATACAGTTCCCTATGCTATAACAGTATAAACTTATTTATCTATTTTATATATAGTAGTTAGTATCTGCAAATCATGAACTCCCAATTTATCCCTTCCCACCCCCTTTATTGAAACTTTAAATAATAACTATAGGCTGATAAATCTGAAGACTACATACCACCAACCTCTCCTTTAAGCTTCAGCTTTTTTTTTTTTTTAGTAACAACTGTCCTGTGAGTTCTCCATTTATATATCTTAACAGCATTTCAAACCTGGCAGACTTTTCTGTCTTATTCCACTGTGTACCCATGCTTAAAATGGTGCCTGGCACAAGATAGCATTTAACCAGTATTTATGTAATGAATGAATAAATGAACAATGGTAGATCACTGCTGTATCCCTTAGGGATTGCATTTTGCTCCTAGTGATAAGATCTTACTACTGTGGCTTAAACATGCAAGTGTTTATTTAATCACTTTGGAAAACAAACATTTTTCTAGTAAAGGCGAAGCTATGCAGAGCCTGCAACCCAGAAATTCTACTCCAGGTTTGTACCTAGAGAAGCCAGGAAACAGACACAAAATGTTCATGGCAGTATTGTTCATAAGAGCCCCCAAATCGGAACAACCCCAGATACCCATCAACATTGGAATAGAGAAATAAATCCTGGAATATCCATACAGTGAAATACTGCATAACAAAGAGAATGTACAAACTACAGCTAGCTACCATGGGATGATATGGGTGACTCCCACAAAAAATATTGAGCAAAAGAGCAAGTTATTAAATAATACATACAGAATGATTCTAGTTATTTAAAGTGGAAAGATAGTAAAAGTAAACTAAATTGTTTAGTGATATATTCACAGAGTTTTAAACTGGGACAACAGTAGTTACCTGTAGGGCGAGTGGGAGCTGCGATGGGAAGCGGTACACGTGGGCTTTATGGACTGTCGGTGTTTCTGTTCTTGACTTGGGCAGTGGTTACATGAGTATTGCCTTTATAATTATTCTTTAAACTATTTATAAATGTATTAGGCACTCTTCTATCTATATGATGTATCTCAATTGAAAAAATAGAGAGGAAGGAAGAAAGATTCTGGAACGGTTATCTAATGGATAGTTTTGTAATGAATGCTAACAAGAATATTACCCTGAATTGGCATGTGATAGCTCATGAATATTTCTGCATCTTTTTAGTTCCCTGTAATATAAGTGATTATATGGAGGTATTTTAAGCTTAAGGAAAATACATTTCAGCATGAAAGTATATTTTCTTTCAAAATCCCTTCCACTGATCTAATATAATAGAGTACTAAGTTCTCTTCTGAAACCAATTTACTTTTTAAAATAAATTTTGTGAATTGTGCTCCAGATCTTTGGCAAAAATAAATACTTGGTTTCATAATCTGGTGTCAGTATTCTGACATAGTCTGTCAATATTCTTCAAGGTTTTAACAAGCCAAATTTTTTCAACAAAACTCCAAGGTATCACATAAAAAAGAAATATTGTTCAAAGGCATAAAAGTAAATAATTAGAAAAGGTAAACGAACAACTATCAAAGTTAGGAGTGGAGGTGAGGATGGTAGCAATGAGCCAAATCCTCATTGTGTCTGGGGCTATCCAGTGATAAATCAATAGATCGTTCTAGAGACCTATTATTTAGGAAGGTAATTATGAAAAGAACCCAAATCAGAAAAGGTTAAAAGTAGTTGCTTTGGAGAAGGGAGACTAGGGGAGGGGAGAAGCCAGATGGGAGATACGGCTTTCATTATAGTTGTTCTGAACTAATATATTTAGTTTGTTTGTTTTTTTGTGGGCGGGGGGTAATTAGGTTTATTTATTTGTTTTTCAGTGGAGGTACTGGGGCTTGAACCCAGGACCTTATGCTTGCTAAGCATGTGCTCTACCACTGAGCTGTACCTTCCCCAATGAACTAATACATTTCTCCATATGCATTGTATTATTCTGCTAAAAACATAGGAAAATATTTGTAAGGGAATGAATGAGAATGAAAAAAAAGTCAAGACCATAGCTTTTTTGAATTAGAGATTGTAATATATGTGAGGAGCCTGAAACATAGGAGGAGCCATAGAAGTATTTGTCCGGAATTAGTTGTTTCCTGTTTGAATTACATGTTATGTATTTGTTTTCCTTCTAGTTTCATTGAGATATAACTGATAGCACTGGGTAAGTTTAAGGTGTACAGTAAGATGATCTGATTTACATACATCATGAAGTGATAATCAGAATAAGTTTAGTGAACATCCGTTATCTCATATAGCTACAAAATTAAAGAAATAGAAAAAAATTTATTCTTGTGATGAGAACTCAGATTTACTCTAACAGCTTTCATATATAGCATACAGTGTTAATTATATTTATCATGTTGTACATTACATTCCTGGTACTTATTTATCTTACAACTTGAAGTTTGTAGTACCTTTTGACTGCCTTCTTCCAGTTCCTCCTCCCCTTATCCCCCACATCTGGTAACCACAAGTCTGATCTTTTTTTCCTATGAGTTTGTTTTTGAAGTATAACTGGCCTACAACATTATGTTATTTTCTGTTATACAGCATAGGGATTCAATATTTCTATACATTTCAAACTGATCTCCAAGATAAGTCTGGTAATAATATGTCACAATATGAAGATGTTACATAGTTATGGACTATATTCCTCACATTGTACATTTCATACCCTTGACTCATCTATTTTGCAACTGGAAGTTTGTACCTCTTAATGACTTACATTTAAAAAATTCTCTGATTTAACCATTCTATTTCAATTTTCAAATAGAATTTTATCCATATTAGAGAAATTCATAAAGTATTTTGATAATATTTGTCCAAATTATCTGTTTTCATGTTTAAAACTACTCCAAAATTTAGTGGCATATAACAACACCCATTCATTATATCTCACAATTTTGGGATCAGAAATGTGGACAGGGCTCAGCTAGAAGATTCTTCTGCTTAATTTGGCATTGACTGAAGTCATTCAGCTGGCAGATGGTCTGTAAGGTCCATTTATGTCTGATACTTTGGTGCGAATGGCTGGGATGCTGGGCATGGCTGCAACCTTTGATCTGAGTCATCACATGTTGCAGTCTCAGGGTACTGGAACTTATTACCTGCTCAAGTTACCAGAGATTTATAAGAGGCAAGGGTGGAAGCTGCAGGGTTTTTGTTTGTTTTGTTGTTGTTGTTATTTTAATGACTTGGCTTCAGAAAGCCGAGAATTTTCCTTCTGCTGTATTCCATTGGCTGACAAGTTACTAAAGCCAGCCCAGATTCAAGGGGAGGAGAATTAGACTCCAAATATCAAAGGGAGTAGGAAAGAATTTATAGCCATCTTTAATGCATCCTCCAATAAGACCCCTGATACAAAAATAAATATATGGGTCAAATATTATTTTTTTCTGCCTGAGCAAAGAAAACACATTTGCGGCAGGTTGGCCGAAAAATCCAAAC